GACACTTGAATGAAAAACAAGATACAGTAGAAAGTCAGGCAGGCCCACCATGAGAACCCTGGTAGTAATAAGATGCTGTATCCATCCAGGGCTTGTCTGCATGAGCACTCGAGGGTGGGAGAATCCTTTCTGCAATGGCTGGAGTTGCCCCAGCCAGGTGCTAGTAGGCAGATGGTTTCTCTAATCTTTCCTGATGCCAGGTGACCACTCATATTGCTTTCAGGGAATAAAACTATGACAAAGTGCAGAAACTGAAGCAACCAGTCAGGGAGTGGATTTCCCAGTAAATAAGACAAGCATGGCTTTATTTTGTTTACTGAGGACTCTGTCCCTGTCAGAGACTGAAAATATGAAAAGATATTTTGCTTCTGTAGGAAGGTGCTGAGGGTAGGGAGTGAGACAGATGCCAGCCATACCTAGAAGCAGAATCTTTGATGTGGTGAAAAAAAGGTGCAATTGTTCACTACTGATTAGTAAGAAAGTGCAAGTAAGCCCGTGCTTACCTTGTTTATTGGGTAATCTGACACTGGACCCAGGTCCCAGGATTAACAGACCGTGTCTGGCCTTCATCTTGAATCCTTCATCTTGCTCAAGTTCCCATTAGCATGAGCAAGGAATTCTAAAGGTCGGGGTTCTGAACAAGAGGCAGTCCATCTTGGAGGCATATAATTACAAACCTCACCTCACAAGTTTATCTGTAACTGCCAAGGCCAAAGGGAACCCTAAAAGTGATTTTCCGAGGAGCATTCTGTTGCCCAGCGAGGGCTTTTCGTGGTTTTAATGTGAAACTACCTGTTTCCATTCCCCTTTCAGTAGCATGTCAGGGAGCAAAGCCTTCCATATAAGACCTGACAAGCGTGTGTTCATGAGGAAGCAGAGGGGAAGCGCTCAGTTCATATGACTAATTACACAGACTTCACGCTGGGTTGCTCTTTTTTGATGCGGGTCTTGTTCCTAATTGTCAGTTTGCTCCTCAGGAAAGTAAGGTTGAGTTCAAATGCCTCTGTGCCCTGTTTTCTCTTAGTGAACCTGACCTGAAACTGATGCGGGGTGACAGGGAGTAGACGGGAAAGACTCATTGCGCTCAGAGCAAACCTTTTCAAGTTCCCCCGCTAGCAGCAGCTTCTAAAGGCTGTGGTTAGACCCCACATTTAGCATGGCAGACCCCGGCTGAAAGGTCTGCTCAGCAGGGTGTTTGCCTGATGGGCAGTTGAGTTAACTGAGAGACCTAGGGGCTTCTTCTCCAAGCTACCCAAAGAAGTTATTCGCAACAGACACTGGGGCTAACACTTGGACATGGTGTGCGAGAGACCGATTGTTGGAATGACTGTAATCTTCATCTCCCCTCTAGCCTCGCCGTTTGCCATGTGACTTTGTAGCGCCTCTTGTTGATAGTTGTGTGCAGTCACCTCCAGCTCATGGCAAGTTACATGTAACAGAAATAAACATTACCTGGTCCTGTGTCAACCTCATGGTCAGCAACGTGTGTGAGTCCATTGTGGTGTTTGTGTCAATCATCTGATCAAGGACGATCTCGCTGGCCTTCAGTGGCCTCTACTTCACCAAGCTTGCTGTCCTCCTCCAGGGATTGATGGCTCCTGAGGAAGTGTCCAAAGAAAGGGAATCAGACAATGTTCTGCAGGAATCCCAAAGGTTTGCATTGGTTACTATCCAGAAACAAATAGTTATTCCCAGTCTATCCTCTGAACCCTGTCTACCCTGGTGACCCTGCTACTATGTGAAATACTAGTGGCATAGTTTCCAGCCTCACAGCAACATGCAAGTCATACAAGTATATAAACGGATGCTGTGTTGTGACTGTTTCTATTAGGTGCCTTTGAGTTGGTTCTGAATCAAGGTTATGTTGTACATAACCGAACAAAACACTGACTGGTCTTACAGCATCTTCAGAGTCCGATGTTTGCACAGGCTCACTGTTGCAGCCGCTGTGTCAATCCATCGCATCGGGGGTTTTCCTTTGGCTGACTCTTACCAAGCACGAGATCCTTCTCCAAGGATTGGTCCCTCCTGATAACAATCCGAAGTACCTGGGGTGGAGGCTTGCTTCTAAGGCGCATTCTGGCTGTACTTCTCTCGAGACAGGGTTGTCCATTCTTCTGGAAGCCCACGGTGTGGGAAGTCGCAGGGTTATGTATGGGATCTGTTCCTAAGTATGTCCTTAAGTTAAGTAAGTAAGTAAGTCCTTGTAAGTTCATTGGGACAAGAGCCTATCATTCTTACTTAGTCATATTCTACTGCAAGGACATGTTCAAGGCCTCTTTAGGACTGAAAATCTGTACACGCAATAAGTGAAGGAGATTGTGGTGAGGAATTCATTTCAAGTAGCGGGTTGGCTTAATCATTTCAAAGTGAGGGCAAATTTATATAACATTAAAGGACAGATAGAATAAATATATTGAAAAAATACAACCCGGACACATTCATTTTCTGATTTTGAATTATGTCCTTTTCCCCTTGTCTGTACGAGCAACTGCCTCTTTGTCTAAATACAAAGCACAGTTAATTGTTCTGGAATTTCCATTCTTTGCACTGTCATCCATAATTTATTATGACTCACACAGTCAAATGTCTTTGCATAGTCAATAAAACTTAGATACTACATCTTTCTAGTGGTTTTTTCTCCTTTAGCCAAGATCCATCTGACATCAGCAATAATATTCCTCATTTCATTTCCTCTTTTGAAGTTGACATGAATTTCTTTTTAAAAAAAATCATTTTATTGGGGCTCATACAACTCTTATCACAATCGATCTGTCCATCCATGGTATCAAGCACATTTGTACATTTGTGGCCATCATGATTCTCAAAACATTTTCTTTCTACCTGAGCCCTTGGTATCAGCTTCTCATTTTCCCCCTCCCTCACCCACCTTCCTTCCCTCATGAACCACTGATAATTTATAAATTATTATTATTATTTCATGTCTTACACTGACTGATGTCTCCCTTCACCCACTTTTCTGTTGTCCAGCCCCCTGGGAGGGGGTTACAGATAGATCATTGTGATTGGTTCATGGCTGACATGAATTTCTGTCAGTTTCCTGTTGATGTACTGCTGCAAGCAAAGTTTGAATTATCTTTAAAAAATTTACTTGTGTATGATATTGATGATATTATTTGATAGTTCATGCATTCTGTTGGATAACCTTTCTTCAGAATGGGCACATCTATGGATCCCCCCCAATGATCTTAAATATCTCCAACCTTAATTTTTAGACCACTTCGGGAATTGATGTATTGCACACTGATGACCGAAGACTAGATGAACTGTGGGCTGACATCAAGGACTTCACACATGAAAATAACGAAGGGTCTTTTCAAGACAAGAAAGGAAACAAAAACAACCCAAAATGAATTTCAGAAGAGACTGACACTTGCTCTTGAATGTAGAGAAGCTAAAGTGAATGGAAGAAACAATGAAGTCAATGAGATAAGCAGAAGATTTCAAAGAGCAACTCAAGAAGATAAAGTTTTTTGGTTTTTTTGCATTGATAGGATTTATTAGAGAATTAGCAAAGTACTATTTAAGGCCAGAAACTCAGGATGCAGTTTCTCATAAGACCAGCTTCTTCTTGCTCTCTTCCATTAGACCCTCCTGGATGTCTTCTCCTTCTGGGTCCTGCTCTGGTAAGTGTTTGTTTGATTCTATTGATAAGTGCACAGAGGCACCCCACTCTTCGCAGGATGCCTTGGCCTGAAGACATTCAGCTTTCTAGAACCAGGGGTCATGAAGTCTCACTCCATCAACAAGTACTTGGAGGCATCCCTCTGTATAGGCAACACCACTGCCCAAAGGAACTCAGCTTTCCTTTTGGTGCGGGCCGTAGATTCTCCTGTTGGTTCTCTGTGGCTGTTGTCACCATTTCTCTGCCATTGTTTATCACCACTATCTCTTGATGTTTTTTGTCTTATGGCCTTTTCTAAATTTTCCCTGTGCCTAGGAGGTTCCCAATGCAGGGACTCGGTGTCCAATGTGCCCCTGCATTGGCTCCATTCTTGCCTCTTCTCTTGAAATATA